GTTTTAATATAATTACTGCAACATTTGAGACAAGAAAATTTCAAATAAATTTTAAAATAGAGGTTAGATCTTTGTAAATGGGTATATTTAAAAAACCCTTAAAAGGGCTACATCAAATTACATAACGTTTTCGGAATAATAATTCCATCATCACGTTTAAAAATGCCTAAAATAAGTATAAACCATTTAGTTAAAGCAAACATGGTTTAAAATTTTGACTATAGTTTCAAAAAGCAAAAAATGGTTATACTTACAAGTTAACATGCCTGAGCCACCAAAATATCAGGGTAAAACCCTTTAAAATACATACGGTTACAAAATATTGTACATAATGTTGTTATTCATAAAAATATAAATTTTTTTTCCTGATATTTTGGTGGCTCAGGCATGTTAATTTATAAGTATAACCATTTTTGCTTTTTTTAACCTTAGTCAAAATTTTAAACCACGTTTGCTTAAACTAAATGGTTTATACTTATTTTAGGCATTTTAAACCTGATGATATAATTATTATTCCGAAAACGTTCGTGTAATTTGATGTAGCCCTTTTAAGGGTAATATACCCATATACAAAGATCTAACCTCTTTTTTGTGATACAGCCAGCTGCAGGAATTATTTTCCTTGTGAATTTTGATTTTAAAATGTTTAGAGCGATAATGAATTGCAATTCTGATGAGGATATTAGACCGAAATACGTATAAGCGGCTACATTGGCGCATTATACGTGAAATTAAATTCTTAACTGTCTTTTCCAATTTTAAAATTCTTTGTCAGTGGTGTGTAACATAACATTATTTCTGTTAGATAATTACATAAAAATCATACGAGAATGACTTAAAAATGGAGTAATTTGGCAGGAAATAACGAAATAAAGTGAAATTACAAAGGCCTACTGAGCTCAATGGGAATCTCTGTATCTTTCCAATCATCTATTAAATCGGTAGAGGGAAAGTCTTGATGGATTACGTTTAGTTAAACAATTGGTTTGGACATTAAAACAACTGGAGATTAAGAAATTGGAAGCTTTTGAGCGTTGGTGTTATCGAAGGATGCTACGAATAGCATGGGTAGACAAGGTTACCAATATTGAAGTCCTTGATAGGGTTAATAAGAGGGAAGAAATTGTACAGACAATTAAGAGGCGGAAACTTGAATATTTCGGTCATATATTAAGAGGTCCTCGTTATGGGCTACTACGTTTGATTATAGAGGGCAAAATAAAAGGTAAAAGAGATGTAGGAAGAAGACGAACCTCCTGGCTACGAAATCTAAGGGAGTGGTTTGGTCTGAGCTCTAGCCAACTATTTAGAGCTGCTGTAAGTAAAGTAAGAATTGCCATGTTGATATCCAACCTTCGTTAGAAGATGGAACCTTAAGAAGAAGAAAACAATGGTACTGCCAAAATCCCACATTAAAAATGTATTGCAAGGACTTTATAGTAGCCTATCGGTAGGACGTTTTGGAGTCAAAAGAACACTAGCAAGAGTTCGAGACAGATTTTACTGGATCAGTTGTCGCCGAAATGTATAAGATTGGTTTAGGAGATGTGCCTTAAGCAACGATAAAAAAGATCCTAGGACAAGAAGTTGTAGTAAAATGGCACATTATGTTTCCGAAAAACCTTTTGAACAACCTAACAGTAGATATTCTCGGTCCATTTTCAATGACCGAAAAGGAAACAAGTAATGGTCGAAAAGAGTTATTTTTTAAAATGGCCCAAAATTACACCCCTTTCTAACCAAGAAGCAACTATAGCAGCAGAAGCATTCATAACACACGTTCGTAATAAACATTTTGATCAAAGACGAACTTTTAATCAGAATTCGTGCAAAAATTAATGAAAATCTTGGGTATTAAGAAAATTCGCACTACGTGTAATCAAATCTATTTCTTCTAGCCCATAAAAACTCCAAACATAAAGCGACCGATTATTCTCCATCGATTATGATCTTCGGAAGCTTACTAAAGATCTTTAGAGGATGCCCCCCCCCCTGCGAAGAAAGGGTGGAAGAAAAACCTTCATTCCTGACGTACATCGAAAATTATAAAGAAAAATTGGAAAAGGTCTTTTTGCTCGTAAAAGTTTGAAGCTTCAAAGTGATAAAGCCAAAGCCAGGCTCGACATCCTTGCTACCGTGACAACTTTCAAAATTAGTGATCCAATATATTTATACAATCCCAAACGTGATAAAGGACTTAGTTTTAAAACTAATATCTAATCTATTAGCTCTATGGAACTCGTCTATTCTGTTGGCCTCAGTTGGCCCTGATAGACCAGTTATTCGAAACGAATATCAATAAAAAAATGAGCAGTATTACAACTTCCATATAAAATTAGTCCCATGACAAAAAAAAAAGAAGTATTAAAAATGTAGTAGTTTCTAGATGTCATCAAGTAGACTAGAAGATACCAACAATATAGACAATTGCTGAAAACAAATAAAAACGACTTAATCACAATATCTCGAGAAAATTTAACACAACAATCACTTGAAAATAAGTAGGTGACACAAGGCATCGTAGATCTAAAGGACGTTCGAAGGCAAACAGCCAAAGCAGAAACTTATGGCTAAAATTATATAACAAGACTCTGGTGGTAGAATTTTAAGTGATATTAAAGAGCGCTGTACCGAATGGGAAAATTACATAATGAAATTATTTAAAGATGACCAAAGAATCTTACCAAGAAATTACATCTAAACGAGATACAGGCTTTTAATCTCATGTAGTTCAGAAGACCATCGACTAAGCGAAATAGAAAAAGGCTTCGGGTCCTAACGAAATACCTGCAAAATTGATACAACTATTAGATAATAAGAGTGTTATCACTCATATGTTACCAGCCAAACTGGCTAGAATCAATATTTATAACTATTTCCAAGAAAAGGAATGCCAGACTTACCAGTTTAATAAGTCACACGATCAAAATGTTTATAAAAATATTGCATTTTAGCATAAAACTTTATGGGAGATAGCTGGTGATAAGCAGTTTAATTTCCGAAACGGTATGAGTATAAGAGCGTTGAGTTTAGGAAAAATATTCACGAATGTTTTATAGATTTCAAAAGAGATTCGAAAAAAATTATCATGTTACCGATGTTGTTCAATGCCTACATTGAACCAGTTTTTGAGATAACATTATATACTCGGTCGCGAAGGTGTTAAAGTCGGTGGTGAAATATTATTAACATCATATATACATTAACATCTAGTTTGCCTTATTTTATGCATGTGAAGCCTGCACAACAAAAATTAGAAACACAAATTAAAAGCGTTTGAGTTTGTAGTGTTAACGTCGCATGCTCAGCATCCCGTGAACTAGAATAGAAACAAGGAAATGGGCAAAAAGTCCACTAGAAAAGCCGAGACATATCTTAAAACAGTTTTTACACCAAATGGAGAGAAATACTCATGACAAGACGAAAAAGAGATTATTTCAGTACTCTCAAAACCTTATCAACTAGAACTTCTTGAAAAATTCATTCACGGACGGGTGAAGTAATCGCAAAAACAGGTACTACGGGGAGGGTGAAGCCCCACGATGTCTATCTAGTAACTGAAGATAAAATATTAATCTATAAATCCATTCTGAAGCCGTTTGGACTAATGGACTAAAATTATGAAGAACCGCCGCACACGCCGGAATAACATACATCAAAGATGATACAAAATATTACACGAAGAAATATACAGAGAAATTTAAAGTGTATCTAAATGTGTTTGCAAATATATCTTCTTCTTTAAGTACCCTCTCCCAAGCGGAGGAATGGATATCATCATCACTAACTTTACTTTATCTATTGCTGCTCTGAAGTGTTCTATAGCACTGCATTTAAACCACTCTCTTAAATTCTTCAATAATGACACTTTCCTTCTTACTATACTTCTTCCTTCTTTTATCTGTCCCTGTATTATCAGTCTTAGCAGTTCATATCGCTGCCCCCTCGTTACGTGTCCCAGATATTATAACTTTCTTATTTTAATTGTGTTTATAATTTCGCATTCTTTGCCCATTTCTCGCAATACTTCCGTGTTAGTTTTCTTCTGTGTTCATGCTGTTCTAAGCATCCTCTTGTAACACCACATTTTAAAGGATTGTAACTTATTTATGTGTTCTTGCTTCAATGTCCAGCTTTCAAGTCCATATTGCAGTATCAAAAACACGTAGCATCTCAGTGCTTTTACTGTCAATTCTAATCTAAGATCTTTGTTGCAAAGAATTGTTTTCATAAACAAAAAGAGATATCATACAATTTCTACCTGGTGAAATCGAATTCAAATATCAGCCACCGTGCTCCCTAAAATTTGCGAATCAAACAGCTTGATGAATAAATCGGCAAGGGAATCTAAAATTGCATTCCAAATGCCGTTCATCATGGCCAATGTTCGTAGTGAATTCGATTTCTGGTACTACGACGGGGAAATATTTTGGTTCGATACGGAGTTGTGACTATACCGTACTGAGGAGACCTAAAGAGGTCGAAATACGTATATGCGGCTTGTAGCTGCTCTGTATCGAATCAAAATCTAATACCGTCATTGTGTTTTATTTCTTTACTTTGTTTGGAGTACCAGAAATCGAATTCACTACGAATATTGGCCATGATGAACGGCATTCGGAATGCAATTTTAGATTCCCTTGCCGATTTATTCATCAATATGTTTGCTTCGCAAGTTTTAGGAATATTTAGCAATAGAATATATTTAGGTGGCTGATATTTGAATTCAATTTCACCAGGTAGAAATCGTATGATTACTCTTTTTGGTCTTAGATGGCGTAGTTACGTCTGTACATAGTTATTTTTAATAACTATGGTCTACGACGGGAAAATATTTTGATTCGATACGGAGTAGTGGCTATACCGTACTGAGGAGACCTAAAGAGGTCGAAATACTTATATGCGACTTATATGCGTCATTGTGAATTGTTTTCATTTTTACAAACGCATTTCTTGCTATTTCTATCCTAGCTCTTATTTCGTTTTTTTGATCATTATTCTCTAAAATGCAGGTTCCTAGGTATTTGTATGTATCAAACTTTTCTATCGGTACATTTCCCAAATGTATGTTTGTTGGTATATTTGTTTTCTTTGCTATTATCATGTATTTGGTCTTTTTTATATTCATTTTTAGTCCATATTTTTTACAGAAACTGTTTGTTTTGTTTAGCAGTAATTGGAGTTGTTCAGCAGAGCTTGCCATAACCACGGTGTCATCTACATATCTTATGTTGTTAATAGATCTTCCGTTAATTATTATTCCTTCACTTTGAGATAGTAATGCTTCTTCAAAAATGGCTTCACTATACATATTAAATAGTAATGGGGACATAATACATCCTTGCTTAACTCCCCCCTGATTTTAATTTCTGGACTGGGTTCGTTATCTATTACAATTTGTGTCCTTTGATTCCAGTAGAGGTTTGTTATTATTCGTAAATCCCTATGGTCTATGTTTTTTGTCTTTAAAATTTAGACGTATTTTTCATATCTAACTTTGTCAAATGCTTTTTCAAAATCAACGTAATAAACATGCACATCAACATTCATATCCATGTATCTTTGAGCTAACACATTAAAAGCAAATGACGCTTCTCTGGTTCCTAGTTTATTTCTGATCCCAAACTGGCTATCATCTATTCCTTCTTCCAGTTTTTTATTTATACACGACCATGTATTATTTTTAGGAATAATTTGAGAATGTGACTTATTAGTAATATTGTTCTGTATTCACTTCAATATTAAGCGTTTGTATTTTTAGGAATAGCACAAAAGGTGAAGTGTAACCATTGTTATGTATGTGCCCTGTTTTGACCATTTATGCATTTTAAGATTTCTATAGCGATTTGGTCTGGACCTAATGCTTTACCATTTAATTTCCTCTTTTAATATCTTTAAAACCATATCCTCTTCTATACCTATCTCCATCTGTTCTCTTTTATTCTCTTTGAACAGTTCATTGTTGTATTCTGTCCATCTCTTTAATTTGTCGTTAATATTCAACACAAGTTTCCCATTTGCATCTTTCAGTATTCCCGGTTTTCTTGTTCTATTGTTGTAAGAATTCTTTAATTTTTTATGTGTATTAAAACTATCATGTCTTTTATGGTATTCTTTTGTTTCTGCGCATTGTTCTTTTAACCATTGATCTTTTAACCATTGATCTTTCGCTTTCTTAATTCTATATTTTATTTGTTTGTCAACTTTTTTGTACATCTGATTATCTTTGTTCTTATATTGACGTCTTTCTTCCATTAAATCTAAAATTTCTTCCGTCATCCATTGCTTCTTTTTATATCTAGTTGGTATTAGAATTTCTTTTTGACTTTTATCTATTTCTGTCTTAATGTCTAGATCTAAATAATTTTCCTATATAAACAAAAAGTTTAAATTTTGGAAAAAATTGAAATTCAAAACTTATTTCTAAATGAGCTGTGTAGTAGACATGTTGATAAATGTGCATTGACATTGAAACAACTGTCGTGAGAACAACAAAAACTCGAAAATTTTAGTAACAAGTTATATTTATTCCTCTTTCCAGAAGAGACAACATGTAGACACCAAAAGTCAAAAGCAAAAGTCGTCTTCCTAATAAAGAAGTAAGGAATAATAATAGAGAGCTTTATCCTCGGCCAATAAATACGTTCGGAGGATTTTAAAGTCGCCCGACGTCTTCGTCTTCGTCGTCGCAGATCCAACATCAGCAGCAGCACCAGCAGCAGTACAATTATTCATTCAAGTTATAACATATTCTGGTTTTAATCCTTGAGCGTCCTTCTTTGTTTATCGAGCGAAGGAAATGAGTCCGTTTCTTTTCAGAAAGGCAAAACTTTTAATGACCGCCCCGCCGCCTCTCCTTCTTGCTTTGCTCTGCCGTTTCCAGAGGCGGTCGGTGATCGGCATCACGCGGAAGGCGACTCATTAAACGTTTTGATTAACAATTTAATTTTTTTTATAGAAAACACCATCAAACTGATTATTGTTGCAATGTCAGAAGGATTTCATGTCGAAGCTTGATGCTGAGCATAAGAAAAGTCATCCTCCTTTTGACACACTTTTCTTCTTTACTTCCTTAATAGCCATAAATAGATGATTTAAAATACCTTGTATTTTTTTCTTCTTCTTCTTTGTTTTATCTACTGTTTGTTTTTCTTTATTAACTATATCTTAAACATATTGATCCAATCTCCGTTTTTTTAAGCGACCTCCAATTTTAGTTTAGAGCAGTCGTATTATTTAAAGATTATTGGTACACTTTAAAGACATATTTTAACCTTCCAAAGCGAATAATCCTAGAATAATTCTTATTTGTAGTTCCTGTATTTAATTGTCTCTATTTATTCTAATTTCGTACATAGATACTTGTATTTGTCGATTTCTTTAATGGTTTTGTTCTGTAGAGATATAGTTCCTGGAAGGAACAAATTAGTCATGAGATTAATTTTGTTAACTTGTCCCACTTTTCGCCTATCTTTTTTCGTTGATTTGAATTCTATTAAATCATCTATTATTGATACTGTATCATGCGCAAAACGTAGACCTTATTTATACAATCGAGGGTGTTAAAAGCATATTGTAAAACAGTTTTGAATAGTTTTGGATATAGTGTGTTACGCTGTTTAGTGCCTCTTTGTATAAGAAATTCCTAATGGTTAGGTTCATTTTATGGATCTTTACACTCACCGTTAAGTTGCTGTATATAATTATCATTTATTATTATTTTTGTCTTTATCGTCTACTGCAGGTCTTCCTCTTTTACTCGACTCACTAACTTCGTAAATCAGCAATTCTTTGTATTGGGCAAGTCTCAACGTTGAACATGACCAAATTATCTTAACCTATGCTCTCTCGTGTTGGCAATAATTGCTTCCATCCCTGGACTTCTAATATACTCATTACTAGTTTGATTGGATTTAATCTTCAACTTTCCTTTTACCTGCCAAACATTCAGTTACATACATCATAGCTGGTCTTATGAAAATTTTATAAAGTGTTTCCTTCCATTTCATTGGAATCTTTTGCCACACAACACACTCCTTTCACTTTTTCCATCTCACCTTATTTCTAATGTATGTATCTCCATATATCCAAAATTAATGCTAATAATCGAGGACTTCAATGCCAAAATATGAGAACAACTATGTAAAGAAGAAGATAAAGTAGGACATCATAGATATGGCAAAAGAAATGATAGAGGACACACATTGATGGATTATTTGAAGGAGAAGTAACTATATTCAATAAATACATTCTTTAAGAAAAAACCCAAAGAAAATGGACATGAATTAGTCCCAATGGTGAAACTAGAAAACGAAATTGATTGTATTCTTTCAACGCAAAAATCCATGGTTAAAGACGTAAAAGCCCTAAATCGCTTCACAACTGGTAGGTAGCGACCATAGACTAGTCCGAACCAAGGTGATCATTGATAGTAGATTTGAAACAAAAAACAAAATGGAAAATAATGAGAAATTAGACATGGAAAAACTGAAACAAGAAAAACAGACGTACGAAGAGAGAACAAAGGAAATATTGCCGACCAAGAAGATAGAGAACACAAACATATCGATGAAATGAACATATTATTCACTGAAACGCTAATGAAAGTGGGTGAAGAAATAGCACAGACAACAACAAAAAAAGAAAGTTTCATATCTCAGGAAACAAAGATTCTTATGAACACAAGAAGAACAGTACTAGAACAAAGGGACAGAAATAAAATGAAATATAAAGAAATAAAGAAGACTATTAGAAAAAATATCAAGGAGTGTAAACGGACAGTACAGGAAGAAAAGATAGAGAAAACGATTGAAAAAAATAGAAACATGAAGTGCTTAAAGCAGAACCTGGGAAGCATACAAATTAATAGCACAAAGAACAAAGGAGTGGAGACCAACAATATAAAAAAAAAATTTACAAATAATGCACGAATATTATACAAATCTCTATAAAACAGATCAAAAACTAACCCAAGAAATCCGTAATCAGTTACAACTGAAAATAAAAAACGTTAACTCTGACCTACAACCAGAAATCAGTAAAAATGAATTAAAAAATGCACTCAAAGAAATGAAGAATAACAAATCGTCTGGGAAAGATGGAATACCTGTGGAAATGCTAAGAAATGGGAAGAAAATTACAGTGGAAGTTCTTTATGCACTAATGAATAAAATATTAAACAAAAACAATTACCCACCACATAGAATAAGGCAATAATCTTATTATTAAGAAAGGTTGAATTACTATTTATGAAAGGCAATAGAAACGATCTGAAAAACTATAGACCCATAACCCTACTTAATGTAATGTAGAAACTGTTAACTAAACTACTAACAAACAGATTAATAACTAAGTTAGATAATTACCAGTCAAGAGAGCAAGCCGGTTTTAGAAGAGGATTCAGTACAAGCGAGCATCTGCTTGCGATAAAAATATTAATTGAAAAGGCCAACGAATATTAAATCCCAATGAATATAGCATTTGTAGACTTTGATAAAGTATTCGATAAGGTGGAACATTCGGCAGTAAAGAACTCTTTACAAAATGGAAGAACAGACTGTAGATATACGGACTTAATTACCAATGTATATGATCAAACAACAACATCCATTAAAATAGTTGAACAAACGAAGCCTATTAAGATACGGCGAGGAGTCAGATAGGGTTATACTATACCACCCAAACTATTCAATCAAGCTTTGGAAGACGTTATGAGAAAATTACAATGGGAAAACGGGGTATTAAAATAAATGGCCAATACTTGAATCACTTGAGATATGTAGACGACATTGTATTAATAACAAATAAAAGGGAAGAATTACAAAATATGATGGATGAAATATATAGTGAATAAAAAAAAATAGATCTGCAAATGAATTATAATAAAACGAAAATATGACCAACCAACCAGAAGAATTAATAATTACAATTGCACAAACAACTATAGAACAAGTAAAAGAATATGTATATTTGAGATTAGTTAAATTAAATAAAGAAAATCAGACCGGAGAAATAAAGAAAAAGATAAGGTTGGCTTTGGTATCATTCGGAAACTTTCCTGTATACTTAAAAACAGAAAATACACCCAAATTTTAAAAACAAGAGTCTTCAACCAATGTATACTTCCTGTTCTCACCTACGGTTCTCAAACTTGGACGTTTACAAAGGACAACATGGAAAAAATAGCAAAGTCCCAAAGAGCCATGGAAACGCAAATGCTGAACATCAGGCTATCAAACAAGAATAGAAATACTTCGATCCGCAACAAAACAAAAGTGACCAATGTATCAATGCAGATAGTAAAGCTTAAGTGTAAGTTCGCTGTGCATACCA